TGATCCTCACTTCCATGTTGACATTTAAGATTCTTAAAACCAGCAATGTTATCCCTCTTACCACTTGACACAACCGGCCAGCCAGCCGGCCAGCCAGCCAGCCAGCCAGTCAGCCAGTCAGCCAGCCAGCCAGCCAGCCAGCCAGCCAGCCAGTCAGCCAGCCAGCCAGTCAGTCAGTCAGTCAGCCAGCCAGCCAGCCAGCTAGCCAGCCACACAGCCAGCCAGCCAGTCAGCCAGCCAGCCAGCCAGCCAGCTAGCCAGCCACACAGTCAGCCAACCATAGTTTCATTGGAAATATAAAACCCTTAAATGTTTAGCTTACTTGTCCACTTATTTTTTTTTACTGAAACTTTTAGTCATACGTGAAACACACACACACAACGTTCTGTACTGTGTTGAGAGGTGAAACTTGCTGCGAGCGACACGTTAAAGAAACTACACGCAGATCCTTGAGCGTTATCCCACGAAAGAGTTACGAAGTGTCTTCCCTGCACATGAAAGCAGTTCTTTTGTGGCCCAAGAAAGTAGCTCCTCACAAAAGAAAACAGTCCGTCTCTGGCCCTTAATTGGTAATTAAGACGGACTTGGAATCCATTCAGCCATATAACTTCCCTTAATTATTTTTTTTTACTAAAGACAAAACTGTATTTGCATACTTTTACCCCGAAGTTCTTGAGCTTGTGAACGCGGACCCTATTGGGTTGGCGATGAGAACGAGGACCCTATTGGGTTGGCGATGAGAACGAGGACCCTATTGGGTTGGCGATGAGAACGAGGACCCTATTGGGTTGGCGATGAGAACGCGGACCCTATTGGGTTGGCGATGAGAACGCGGACCCTATTGGGTTGGCGATGAGAACGAGGACCCTATTGGGTTGGCGATGAGAACGCGGACCCTATTGGGTTGGCGATGAGAACGAGGACCCTATTGGGTTGGCGATGAGAACGCGGACCCTATTGGGTTGGCGATGAATCGTAGGGTGTACGCCATGTAGCCCTAAAATTATACCCCCAGTTTGATTTACAATTAAGAAGAGTGGTTCCAGATGCCATGGCCATCATGTCTGCACTTAAGTATTGACATGTTCCCTACACGTCTCTCAGTCGAGGATATCATGGCAGTGTCACCAGTATAGACTGTGCCAAAGATCACATTAGGGTGGCACTCCCGAAGTCTATTACAAGTTTCGCGTTAATTGGTAACTATACATTATATATATGTATATAGTTGTGTGTGTGTGTGTGTGTGTGTGTGTGTGTGTGTGTGTGTGTGTGTGTGTGTGTGTGTGTGTGTTATAAGTATAATAATTATTTAATTGGTAAATTGACATAATAATGATTGATAATTATCATTTTATACTTGGTATTTTTATGAGAATTTTCTACTGGTTTAATTAATCATTATTTCAGCTCCATTTATGTGGTTGCCAGGTGTGTACCAGTGATCACCTGCTCACATTACCTGTGGTGAGTATGTGGTCAGCTCAGCCGCCCACATACTCGCCCAACACCAAATGGTTAGTCCACATAATCGTCCCTGTACACCACATAAGGCACCGACATACCCCTGTACACCACATAAGGCACCGACATACCCCTGTACACCACATAAGGCACCGACATACCCCTGTACACCACATAAGGCACCGACATACCCCTGTACACCACATAAGGCACCGACATACCCCTGTACACCTCATAAGGCACCGACATACTCCTCCAACCCCCACATACTCGGGCTAAGTGATCACAATGGGTTCTCAAGGGTCCACCAATTTCAGCTGAACTCCGGAGCAATTTTCTGGCCAGATATAAATGCTGGGGATTTAGGGTACACGGAGCGGTCTCTACCTCATCCTCTGACGGGCCTTCTCTTAAGGTATGACAACCCTAAATCATGACACCATTCTCCTCCTCTTTCTCCTCATCCCGGTCTCCAAGAGGTGGTCCACGGTCTCCAAGAGGTGGTCCACGGTCTCCAAGAGGTGGTCCACGGTCTCCAAGAGGTGGTCCACGGTCTCCAAGAGGTGGTCCACGGTATTCAAGAGGTGGTCCACGGTCTCCAAGAGGTGGTCCACGGTCTCCAAGAGGTGGTCCACGGTCTCCAAGAGGTGGTCCACGGTCTCCAAGAGGTGGTCCACGGTCTCCAAGAGGTGGTCCACGGTCTCCAAGAGGTGGTCCACGGTCTCCAAGAGGTGGTCCACGGTCTCCAAGAGGTGGTCCACGGTCTCAAAGAGGTGGTCCACGGTCTCCAAGAGGTGGTCCACGGTCTCCAAGAGGTGGTCCACGGTCTCCAAGAGGTGGTCCACGGTCTCCAAGAGGTGGTCCACGGTCTCCAAGAGGTGGTCCACGGTCTCCAAGAGGTGGTCCTCGGTCTCCAAGAGGTGGTCCACGGTCTCCAAGAGGTGGTCCACGGTCTCCAAGAGGTGGTCCACGGTCTCCAAGAGGTGGTCCACGGTCTCCAAGAGGTGGTCCGCGGTCTCCAAGAGGCGGTCCACGGTCTCAAAGAGGTGGTCCACGGTCTCCAAGAGGTGGTCCACGGTCTCCAAGAGGTGGTTCACGGTCTCCAAGAGGCGGTCCACGGTCTCCAAGAGGCGGTCCACGGTCTCCAAGAGGCGGTCCACGATCTCCAAGAGGTGGTCCACAGTCTCCAAGAGGCGGTCCACGGTCTCCAAGAGGTGGTCCACGGTCTCCAAGAGGTGGTCCACGATCTCCAAGAGGTGGTCCACGGTCTCCAAGAGGCGGTCCACGGTCTCCAAGAGGCGGTCCACGGTCTCCAAGAGGTGGTCCACGGTCTCCAAGAGGTGGTCCACGGTCCCCAGTAGTTCACGGCTTTTACAACATCTACAGTCATCTGTAGCTTCATTAATATCCAGACGTGTCCCCATTGGCCTATTGATCACGCCAATCGCCCATTCGTATACACCTCACACTGTCAATACCAAATTTTGACGACTCCTGACAAAATATTTATGATGATAAATTCTAAGTTTAATTTTCTTTACAACATTATATATTGCCAATATAATACAATTTAACCCAAAGCTGTTTTTTTTAAATAAAAGGTTTTAACAACAAAATACTTAAAACTGGTGATCCGAGAAAAACTGTCACCATTAATTTGATGAGAATTTTCACACTAATGAATAAAGTGTTAATTTGGCCAATTCTAACTGAGCCTATTTGCTCTATATCTAGTTACATATTCACATATACCCCTTTAGCCCCTACACCCCCTTTAGCCCCAACACTCCCTCAGCCCCACTACACCCCCTTTAGCCCCAACACTCCCTCAGACCTCCTACACCCCCATTAGCTCCAACACTCCCTCAGCCCCCCTACACCCCCTTTAGCCCCAACACTCCCTCAGTCCCCTACACCCCCTTTAGCCCCCCTACACCCCCTTTAGCCCCAACACTCCCTCAGCCCCCTACACCCCCTTTAGCCCCAACACTCCCACAGCCCCCTACACCCCATTTAGCCCAAACACTCCCTCAGCCCCCCTACACCCCCTTTAGCCCCAACACTCCCTCAGCCCCCCTACACCCACTTTAGCCCCAACACTCCCTCAGCCCCCTACACCCCCTTTAGCCCCAACACTCCCACAGCCCCCCTACACCCCATTTAGCCCCAACACTCCCTCAGCCCCCCTACACCCCCTTTAGCCGCAACACTCCCTCAGTCCCCCTACACCCACTTTAGCCCCAACACTCCCTCAGCCCCCTACACCCCCTTTAGCCCCAACACTCCCTCAGCCCCCTACACCCACTTTAGCCCCAACACTCCCTCAGCCCCCCTACACCCCCCTTTAGCCCCAACACTCCCTCAGCCCCCTACACCCCCCTTTAGCCCCAACACTCCCTCAGCCCCCTACACCCACTTTAGCCCCAACACTCCCTCAGCCACCCTACACCCCCTTTAGCCCCAACACTCCCTCAGCCCCCCTACACCCCCCTTTAGCCCCAACACTCCCTCAGCCCCCTACACCCCCTTTAGCCCCAACACTCCCTCAGCCCCCCTACACCCCCAACACTCCCTCAGTCCCCCTACACCCCCCTTTAGCCCCAACACTCCCTCAGCCCCCTACACCCACTTTAGCCCCAACACTCCCTCAGCCACCCTACACCCCCTTTAGCCCCAACACTCCCTCAGTCCCCCTACACCCCCCTTTAACCCCAACACTCCCTCAACCCCCCTACACCCCCTTTAGCCCCAACACTCCCTCAGCCCCCTACACCCCCATTAGCCCTAACACTCCCTCAGCCCTCCCTACACCCCTATTAGCCCCAACACTCCCTCAGCCCCACTACACCCCCTTTAGCCCCAACACTCCCTCAGCCCCCCTACACCCCCTTTAACCCCAACACTCCCTCAACCCCCCTACACCCCCTTTAGCCCCAACACTCCCTCAGCCCCCTACACCCCCATTAGCCCTAACACTCCCTCAGCCCTCCCTACACCCCTATTAGCCCCAACACTCCCTCAGCCCCCCCTACACCTCCCTTTAGCCCCAACACTCCCTCAGCCCCCCTACACCCCTATTAGCCCCAACACTCCCTCAGCCCCCTCTACACCTCTATTAGCCCCAACACTCCCTCAGCCCCCCTACACCCCCCTTTAGCCCCAAAACTCCCTCAGCCCCCCTACACCCCTATTAGCCCCAACACTCCCTCAGCCCCCTTACACCCCCCTTTAGCCCCAACACTCCCTCAGCCCCCTACACTCCATGAGCTCCCCCTACAAGCCCCACCTCACACACCATAACCTTCCCTCCACACCTGTATGTACAGCACAGTAAGCCTCTCCATCTACCTCAGTCACTTGGCCTCCAGTTATAGGTTGCCTGTCCCCTCTCCCTCCCCACCATGCCAGCCGGCTCTCCCTCCCCCACCATGCCAGCCGGCTCTCCCTCCCCCACCATGCCAGCCGGCTCTCCCTCCCCCACCATGCCAGCCGGCTCTCCCTCCCCCACCATGCCAGCCGGCTCTCCCTCCCGCACCATGCCAGCCGGCTCTCCCTCCCGCATCATGCCAGCCGGCTCTCCCTCCCCCACCATGCCAGCCGGCTCTCCCTCCCCTACCATGCCAGCCGGCTCTCCCTCCCCCACCATGCCAGCCGGCTCTCCCTCCCGCACCATGCCAGCCGGCTCTCCCTCCCCCACCATGCCAGCCGGCTCTCCCTCCCCCACCATGCCAGCCGGCTCTCCCTCCCCCACCATGCCAGCCGGCTCTCCCTTCCGCACCATGCCAGCCGGCTCTCCCTCCCGCATCATGCCAGCCGGCTCTCCCTCCCCCACCATGCCAGCCGGCTCTCCCTCCCCTACCATGCCAGCCGGCTCTCCCTCCCGCATCATGCCAGCCGGCTCTCCCTCCCCCACCATGCCAGCCGGCTCTCCCTCCCCCACCATGCCAGCCGGCTCTCCCTCCCCCACCATGCCAGCCGGCTCTCCCTCCCCTACCATGCCAGCCGGCTCTCCCTCCCCTACCATGCCAGCCGGCTCTCCCTCCCCCACCATGCCAGCCGGCTCTCCCTCCCCCACCATGCCAGCCGGCTCTCCCTCCCGCACCATGCCAGCCGGCTCTCCCTCCCCTACCATGCCAGCCGGCTCTCCCTCCCCTACCATGCCAGCCGGCTCTCCCTCCCCTACCATGCCAGCCGGCTCTCCCACCACTCTCGCCTACTATCTTCCCTGATTTCTCTCCCACTCTTGCCAGATATCTCTCCCTTACGCTCTTACCTACTCTCCCTCGCTCTCTCCCCTCTCACTCTCCCCTACTGTCTCCCTCCCCCGGCACGCCTATTTTCGCTCCCTTCCTTTACTCTAGCCTATTTTCTCTCCCCTCAATTTCGCCTATCTTCCCCCCCCCCTCGCCCTTCCAACCTACCCTGTGCTTCCTCCCTCACCCCCTCCAACCCCTTAGGTGCCCCCCCTCATCCCTTCAACCCCCCCCCCCCCCACCCATGTTTAGAGAAATGCATGCTTCAGGACATGATTTAGGGAGGTCTGACAGGATGTGTATATGTCCTCTCTGTAGCCTAACGCGCCCACTCCTACACTGAATGTGTAAGTTATGTGTATGTTTTGTGACGTGATGGAAGGAGGGATGGAGGGAGGGAGGGAGTGAAAGTAGAGACAGGACGGGAAGGAGGTTAGGGCGAGGGGAAGAGAAACGGGAAAAGGGAGAGAAGAACGTGAATAGTAGAAGTGGTTGTTGAAGAGGCTTTAGGAAAGGAGAGAGAGAGAGAACCTACCCCCCCCTCCCCTTCCCATCAAAGCATCAGCCATGGACCTTTCCTCACATTTATTGTATCGCAATTTTGGCGCCATTAATCAGCATTAACAATTCCGGTGTTTTAGCGAAATAAAAACCACAGCAATGCTGACGGTTCTCTTAGAGTAAAAAGCATCGGTTTCGAAAGCTTTGGAGGGTCTTCTAGTCTGCCCAATATATATATATATATATATATATATATATATATATATATATATATATATATATATATATATATATATATATATATATATATATATATATATATATGAACACCAGCAGCAGTGGGGACCTGGCTGTATGCATATGAACCAGAGTGTGAAGATGGAGATCACACTACACTCAAGTACACCCCAGGTACACACTCAGGTACACCCCAGGTACACCTCAGGTACACCTCAGGTACACCCCAGGTACACCCCAGGTACACCTCAGGTACACCCCAGGTACACCCCAGGTACACCTCAGGTACACCCCAGGTACACCCCAGGTACACCTCAGGTACACCCCAGGTACACCCTAGGTACACCCCAGGTACACCCCAGGTACACCTCAGGTACACCCCAGGTACACCTCAGGTACACCTTAGGTACACCCTAGGTACACCCCAGGTACACCTCAGGTACACCTCAGGTACACCCCAGGTACACCCCAGGTACACCTCAGGTACACCTCAGGTACACCTCAGGTACACCCCCAGGTACACCTCAGGTACACCTCAGGTACACCTCAGGTACACCTCAGGTACACCTTAGGTACACCCTAGGTACACCCCAGGTACACCTCAGGTACACCTCAGGTACACCCCAGGTACACCTCAGGTACACCTCAGGTACACCCCCAGGTACACCTCAGGTACACCTCAGGTACACCCCCAGGTACACCTCAGGTACACCTCAGGTACACCTCAGGTACACCCCAGGTACAACGAGGATATCAACGCACAGCATGACGCCACACACCACTAACTACAACCCCCAGGAACCACAAATGTTGAAGCAATCCTTTCATCCCTCCCATCCCTCCCTCCCAGAACCTCTGTGCTGCCCTCTTACTCCCACGGTAACGCTGAAGCCAAGCATACCTAGTAACGTTGAAGTGAATCGCAGCCAGTAACGTTGAAGTGAATCGCAGCCAGTAACGTTGAAGTGAATCGCAGCCAGTAACGTTGAAGTGAATCGCAGCCAGTAACGTTGAAGTGAATCGCAGCCAGTAACGTTGAAGTGAATCGCAGCCAGTAACGTTGAAGTGAATCGCAGCCAGTAACGTTGAAGTGAATCGCAGCCAGTAACGTTGAAGTGAATCGCAGCCAGTAACGTTGAAGTGAACCACAACCAGTAACAGTGAAGTGAACCACAGCCAGTAACGCTGAAGTGAACCACAACCAATAACAGTGAAGTGAACCGCAGCCAGTAACAGTGAAGTGAACCACAACCAGTGACAGTGAAGTGAACCACAGCCAGTAACGTTGAAGTGAACCACAACCAGTAACAGTGAAGTGAACCACAACCAATAACAGTGAAGTGAACCGCAGCCAGTAACAGTGAAGTGAACCACAACCAGTAACAGTGAAGTGAACCGCAGCCAGTAACAGTGAAGTGAACAACAACCAGTAACAGTGAAGTGAACAACAACCAGTAACAGTGGAACCACAACCAGTAACAGTGAAGTGAACCCCCACAGCCAGTAACAGTGAAGTGAACCACAACCAGTAACAGTGAAGTGAACCACTACCAGTAACAGTGAAGTGAACCACAACCAGTAACAGTGAAGTGAACCCCCACAACCAGTAACAGTGAAGTGAACCCCCACAACCAGTAACAGTGAAGTGAACCCCCACAACCAGTAACAGTGAAGTGAACCCCCACAACCAGTAACAGTGAAGTGAACTACAACCAGTAACAGTGAAGTGAACCCCCACAACCAGTAACAGTGAAGTGAACCCCCACAGCCAGTAACAGTGAAGTGAACCCCCACAGCTAGTAACAGTGAAGTGAACCCCCACAACCAGTAACAGTGAAGTGAACCCCCACAACCAGTAACAGTGAAGTGAACCCCCACAACCAGTAACAGTGAAGTGAACCCCCACAACCAGTAACAGTGAAGTGAACCCCCACAACCAGTATCAGTGAAGTGAACCCCCACAACCAGTAACAGTGAAGTGAACCCCCACAACCAGTAACAGTGAAGTGAACCCCCACAACCAGTAACAGTGAAGTGAACCCCCACAGCCAGTAACAGTGAAGTGAACCCCCACAGCCAGTAACAGTGAAGTGAACCACAGCCAGTAACAGTGAAGTGAACCACAACCAGTAACAGTGAAGTGAACCCCCACAACCAGTAACAGTGAAGTGAACCCCCACAACCAGTAACAGTGAAGTGAACCCCCACAACCAGTAACAGTGAACCCCCACAGCCAGTAACAGTGAAGTGAACCCCCACAGCCAGTAACAGTGAAGTGAACCCCCACAACCAGTAACAGTGAAGTGAACCCCCACAACCAGTAACAGTGAAGTGAACCCCCACAGCCAGTAACAGTGAAGTGAACCCCCACAACCAGCTGCAAAACAAAAGTTTGCAACAATCGGAAACAAAGTTGGCAGCAATCAGAGCAAAGAAGTGTTCCTCAATCAGAAACAAAGAAGCTGAACTCGACCGACCATGCACCAAAATGAACTCAACGCAACTCCAAAAGAAATCAAGTCGAAGTCTTCCTGGAACGCGAACAGGTTGGGGTCGTCGTCCACGAGGGAGGGGGTGTGGTGGCGGTGTAATCAGTGTTCCAGTCTAGCCGCCCTACCGCCCGCGGGCCCACAATTATCAACTCTTTGTTCCAGCCAGCAGCCCCCTCGCCTGGAACATTCCCGACCTCCTTCACTGGCTTGTCCTCGACCACTGACCTGGAAAGTGTCGCGGACTGCAGCCACGCTGACGACTTCCAGAGTTTTGGAGGAAGAAGGAGCGCCCAGCAGACAGAAAAGCAGGAAATGTAATATCTGATTCGCTGGATGTTAATTGTGAGTGACTGGAAAGGCTTCACAAATACCCCTAAACCCCAGAATCAGTCGGCTGTTCCATTTCCTTGCAGAAGAGAACTAAATATTCAACGGCTTGACAGTCTACACTTCCTTTCAATTTTCGCAAGAGCAGGGGCTGGAAGGCTCCCTTTCCCCCAACTCCGTCTACAACAAAGCCATACAAAAAACGGACTGACATCTTGGACTGGAGGAAAGAGCCGGACTGAATGGACTGCGAGAGCCGGACTGGAAGACGAGCGAACAGGATGGAAGGTTGACTTGAAAACACCTGACATAGTAGAGAGGGATGCAGGCGGCAGGGGAGCTTTAAGAACCAGGATGTTCTTGCAGCAGTGGGCAGTTTCAAGCCGTCCTGACAAGACCAAGCAAGAACCATCTATCACAAATCTTCACATATATCCCCCTCCACCACACACAAACACAAGGCCGAGCGGGCAGCAGCTAGGGGTGGGTGGTCGTAGTCCTTAGAGCCTGGATTCGATTCCCGGCCGAGGCAGAAACAAATGGACAGTTTCTTTCACCTGATGCCTTTGTCCATCTATCAGTAAATAGATACATGGGAGTTAGACAGCTGCCACGGGCTGCATCCTGGGGGATGAATGTGTGTGTGTGTGCGCGCGCACGCACGCGTGTGACAGAAATATACGCAGTGATATAAGAAGATAGGTCGGGAGTCAGTACATTAGACTGGCGATTAGAAAGGGGGGGGGGGGGAAGTCAAGAGCTGAACAGCTCTATATTAGAGGCGCAAATAGTAAGCGCGCGCGCTCGCACACACACACACACACACACACACACACACACACACACACACACACACACACACACACACACACACACACACACACACACACACGAGTGAAGATTGTCGTCTCATCTTATATTCTGCCGCCTTGGCTCATTCTCACCCTCCCCCCCCCCCCCAACAAACATTATCGAATTCCTCTTTGCTGTGAACCCCCACACAGCCTTCCCCAAGATGTTATCTGTTGAGGTCGTTGAGGCAAGAGAATCAACATCAAAAATCCACACGTATATTTTTCTTTCATGGTGCAGCCAGTTAAGCCGGCCACACGCCGACTCCATCAACAAACCATCACAGAAATCAATAACGAGAAATAAAACTTGAAATTGAATAAATAAACCCTCCAGTGGCCGCACACCGGAATATGAATCTTGAGTCATTCTTGTCGAAGGGTTAATTTTGACTGCATGCTTGAAACTGAAAATCACTTTAAAGAGGGTTATGGGTGTGGTGGGGGGAAGGGAAGGGAAGGGGAAGGGAGGGGAGGGAAGGGGGAGGGGGTAAAATTGCGGTACATCCCTGCCACACCCATTCCACCCATCCATCGATCCACCAGTACCCACGTGTTCCTCCCCATC